TTAGTTGGATATGAAAGCCTATATAAAGGAAAGGAAGAGATAAATATTAGCCTCAAGTTTTCTGTCTTTGGCCTCTGGTGAATAGTGGTACTATTCGCTGAGATAAGAAACAATAAAAGTTACACAACTTTAAGATGAGATGATGACTACTGTGTTGGATGTATTGGCTTTGAGATATCAGTGAGCCATCCAAGGGAAGGTGCAGTGGGATCTACAGCTCTGGTGCTCAAGAGAAAGGTCTGCTCTGCAGATAGAACTGTGGAAATGATTAGTACAGAGTTGCAAATGAAACTATTAGGTGAATGACATGACTCAAAGAGAGTCTTGTGGAGTGAGAAGAGAATATGGCCTATGGGAGATTCTGAAAAATACAAATATTCAAGAGACAAGAGGAGGAAACATAAGGAAGATGGGACAAAAGCTGGAACACATAAGGCTGAAGGAGGAGAACACCTTAGGAAACAGAGTGTTCAACTGCACAAACTTTTTTTTTTTAAATATACTTTAAGTTCTAGGGTACATGTGTACAACGTGCAGGTTTGTTACATAGGTATACATGTGCCATGTTGGTTTGCTGCACCCATTAACTCATCATTTACATTAGGTACTCCTCCTAATGCTATCCCTCTCCCATTCCCCCACCCCGCAACAGACCCCGGTGTTGATATTCCCCGCCCTGTGTCCAAGTGTTTTCATTGTTCAGTTCCCACCTGTGAGTGAGAACATGCAATGTTTGGTTTTCTGTTTATGATAGTTTGCTCAGAATGACGGTTTCCAGCTTCATCCGTACCCCTACAAAGGAGATGAACTCATCCTTTTTTATAGCTGCATAGTATTCCATGGTGTATATATGTCCCAACTCAAATGTTCACAAACATTTTAGAGAAGCCAAAGACTGAAAATTGTTCATGGGTTTTAGTAGCACAGAAGTATTTGTCAAAAATCAGTATAATGAGGACAGAAGCCAGATTGATTAGGTAGAGAAACAAAAGGAAATAAAGCAGCAATAGTGAATACCACTAAATCTTCGAAGAGATTTACCCAGGAAGGGTAGAAGACAGGAAGCAGGACCAGGGATCTATGGAGGAGATTTTTAAATATTAAAGAAACAAACAGCATTTTTAAAATGTTAATATCAACGAGTTTAGTAGGCAGGGATCTGTTGACAATTTGAGAAAGATAAAAACATCTAAGAAAAAATGCCCAAATAAGTAGAAGAGGTTGATATCCATGTACACAGTGAGTGATCTGCCTTGAAAACGTTGAAAAACAACTTTTCCATTGTGATGAGAATAAATAAGGAAAAGATGAATCTACATATTGGCAAGTGCATTGATTCTCCTGAGAATGAGAAGGCAACACAATCTGGTGAGAATGCAGGGTAGAGGTGGTGGAGAAAAGATTGGATAGCATGGTGGAAAATGATAAAAAGAGCTGATTGGGGAAACATAGATTTTTAATACAGCACTGAGTAACTGGTCAAATCTGGAGACTACTGGCTTATAGTAACATCCTTTCTAGGCTTAGGAGACTTTTCTCCAGCTACTCTTATAAAGCCCAGAATAGCTTAGAAAAGTTTAACAGTTGGATTGATTCAAAATCCGGTTTTTTTGGGAGGAGGTGGCCATCAGAAGAAAAACAGGGCAAGAAAGTTCACGATATTGTCCAGACACTGTATGAAATCATGAATCATGAACTCTAAGAGAGAATGAAGTATGAAAGGAAAGGGAAGAAAAGGAATGAAAGGGGTTATAGATAAGGAGAAAACATAGAAACCAAAGGATTGAAGGTATCAGAGCAGCTGAAAAACAAAGCATAGTGATAAAGAGTTGGAAACATTGAAGTTGGTGGTTAGAAAGTAGGTGGTTTGGGCTGGGCATGGAGGCTCATACCTGTAATCCCAGCACTTTGGGATGCCGAGGCAAGTGGACCATCTGAGGTCGGGAGTTTGAGACCAGCCTGACCAATATGGAGAAACCCCATCTCTACTGAAAATACAAAATTAGCTGGGTGTGGTGGTGCATGCCTGTAATCCCAGCTACTTGGGAGGCAGAGGCAGGAGAATTGCTTGAACCTGGGAGGCGGAGTTTGAGGTGAGCCGAGATTGTACCATTGCACCTCAGCCTGGGCGACAAGAGCAAAACTCCATCTCAAAAAAAAAAAAAGTAGGTGGTTTGATTTCACAATTTTAAAGTAAAAGTTTCCAAGCTTTAACACATGAGCACGGGTGATTGTCATGGGGAGTGGCGGTGAACCTCATCGAAATTGAGGAAGTTGCTGAACTGAGATATTAGAGGGTTGAATAGATTGCCCTTGTGAACACTGAACTAAAGCAGGGCTAGAGACAAAAAGGAAATCTGAAAAACAGTGAATGAGAGGAACAAAGAAGAAGTTGGTAGATGACAGCAGAGAGTCTGAGGTAAGTGCGTGCTAATACCATGACCACTAGTTTAGTTAGTGTGTTGCATGTGAGCGATTTAGACCTATATTAGGGAGAGTCTGTGGTCTCACAATAATTTCCTACTTGTTCTCTAGTGTCTGATTCACTGTTTTAGACTCTATTTTAAAGTGCTGAGTTTTTAAACAGTATGTTGGCATTATCTCACCAGATTTGTTTCTGATCTGTTGTGTACCAGTGAACAGGTCACTAAAGAAAAAAAAAAAAATCAAATATTTATCTCATCTCTACTGTGATGATTATTATGCAGGATTAAAATATAACAAGATACAGCTCAGTCTTTGAAATATTTGCAATATAATAGAGAAGCTTATTTGATGAAGATAGGGATAACATCATGTTATCACATGCTCACTATATGAGAGGGCTGACCTGGAAGGGTTCCGGACAGCATGAGGTAGGTGATTGGATTGTGGGTTGTTTAGGAAAGCAAGCACCACTTATGGAAAGAAACAAAAGTATTCCGAACAGAAGATGACTAAAAACTCTCTTCCGATGCTATCTGGGACCTGCCTAACCTGTCCTATATGATACTCTAAGTGACAGCAATGTGCGCTTTAGAAAGTGCAGGTGAAGATGCAGTTGCACTTCAGTAATCACCTCCTATCTACAAACAAACCGCACGAGGGTTGCGGGAGCCAATGCAGATTTCCCATTTGTATGATTATAGCTGCTGCAGGAGGGGTACAATTCAGGAAACTCCTTGGTGGATCTTGATACCTGGCTGAAGTGGAATTTTTGACACCATTTTTGAAAGGATCAGGTGCTTATTCTGCTGAACAATGGGTTTCAGATTTTGAACCAGCAGCAGGACTCCTTAAGCCCAAGGCTGATGTTCTGAGAGCGTGTGCCCCGTCAACTGATACGGAAGCTCCTATGGTTGCAAGACCCTGTGTGAGGCTGCTTGTAGAGCCCCAAGATAAATATGGTTCCATGACTGCTCCTCTGATACCTATTTCCAGTCCCATATGGGTCACTAAATGGTATGATCTGGGTTTGAACCAAACAGACCCAGACAATGACATGACTACAGTTAATATTCCATATTTACGCCAAAATATTCTAAGGTGTTAGACCAGAAAAAAAGAAAAAAAAAGAAAAATCAAGCCTTATTTAACACTGTGATGAGAATCCATAGGGTGTGTAAAACAGATAAGAATTGGTTTGAATCACGAGTTACCAGCTACCACCTACATAATACTGAGTAGTATACACCTCATTTCCTCATCGATGAAATGGGCATAATAGAATAACTGACTCATTAACAGTTGTGAGAATGGAATGAGGTGCTCTAAAGGGTTTTGCACATTACTTACCATACAGGAGGAAGGAACTACACATGATAACCATCGTTATTTTGGAAGGACACATACCTAGTTGGAAAAAGTAGGCATGGAATCAGCCACTTGGGTTCAAATCCAGTCACTATCACGGTAGTAAAACATTCGAGTCTGTTTTTGCCGAGGAGAAATGAAAGTAGTCAAACTTATTCTATGGGTTGTACAATTATTGAATTACATGAGAAGGTAACTGGCTCTTAGTAGGTACGTAAGACAGAGGAAACTAGTATTTATTTCAATGTTTCCTTCATTTATTTTGCATAACTTGGTGGATCAGTGTGATGAAGAGAGTCACTACTGTCAGAGGCTACCTTCCTCACCTTTAACATAGGGAATGTGAGATTTGATGACTTCTAAAGTAGTTTACAGCCTCTAAATCTTTACAAACACATTTAAGGATTTTTAAGGAATTAGATGAATTAAAGAATCCTAGCATAACTAAAAAATACCTTCTGACTGGCAGTTTTCTGGACATTCTGCCTTACCTAAAGTGGTAAATTAAGGAGTGACTTTTATGGAGAAATGTATTTCTTCTTCATCCCTGCTTAGTTAAAGCCCCTTATTTGATTTGTTTTGATATTGTTGCCTTTTATTATTTTCCAGAGTTATTTCTACCCCTCCTTTCTCCAAAATGAAATAATTACTCAAAAGTTAATTCCGTGTTTGGTGTCACTAGTGAACAATTTGGTTTGTTAGTTTAGAACTGCAATAAAGTCTCTGTAAAGATAAAAATAAAATTTGAAAATCCGTCACGGAAAATAATTGATTTTGTGCTTCAAAACATGACAGTTCTGCAAAGGAATATGATGATAATTTACTTTCTGTCACTTCCAAAGTTAACTGAAGGGAGAAAAACACACAAAAAAACATTTTTCTGACAGGCAAACAGGCAAATTATGGACAAAACTGCAGGGCAGGGTGATAAAAAGAAAAAAGAAATCTTAAAAAAGCTGAGCTTCCAATCACCTCCCACCAGTCTCTGTGAAGGATGACTTCAGTCCCTTTCTTAACTAATTCTGTCACTGTAAAATCCTACAGTCATTCTTCCACACATAAAGGACAAATAAGCTCAAGAGGAGGATCTAGATGCTTTCAGTTTTAACTATTCACCAATGGTGGAAAAGGCAGAATGCCTAAGCTATGTCTTCGTGGCCAATAGGATAGCTCTGTATCTCTCACATGACTCACTGCCCCTGTCTTTCACATGGGCTGTAATTTAGTTCAATTCAGAACTGCAGATAGTACAGCTTCCACAGGAGCAAGGGATGTCTGAGCACAAGTGGCTGAGTTCCGAGTGACTTTATGAAGCACTTTTACCTTCCTCTCCGGCATGAAAACAGGGATTCTGCACCTGCATCATGGACAGTCTGGCAAAAGCCTCTGCTCTGCCTCCGGGGACAAGAAACTAGAGCAAATAACCATTTTGAAATTGTAAGTATACCTTCCTTTCCGTCAAGTGTACTGATTAAAATAGTTTTATGTCATAAACATCCAATATTCGAAGATTTCTTAAGGGTACTCTTTTATGTGTATACTGAAGGGTATTCGGCTGGCAGGAAAATATTCCAGGGACAATTGTTGCATACTTTATTCTGTGAAGGATAAAGAATTAAAAATAAAAGTCAGGCGTTCCAAAGAGTAGCTGTAGGAGGCTGTGCGTCGGAACATCGCTCTAGTGTGCTGCTTTGTTCATAAGAAAAAATGAAGGCACACGCATATGTACTTAGTTCACTTCTTTTTGCTCTTTATGTCTAATCAGATTTGCTCTGTCCCCAAGAAAAATAAAAGGCAAACTTTGCTGACTCCACTGACAAGGGCACCATAGACTTTCCACACATCTGACAGTTATTATAATTAGCAATGAAAGACTGCAAAGACACTTGGGGGCAAATAGCTCTTAAATTCTGAACAATGGCTTCAAGCCAGGGCTTTCTTTATATGTTTTTTTAACCACCACTTTTAATTTTATAGTAAGAATAGAAACTGAACTGGTTTCGGTGTTGTAGTCCACACAATGTGAAATAAAGTCCCGGCAGAAGTGAAGGCGACTGAAAGTGGCCAGTGTAAAGAGAGAAGGAAAAGACAGCTTTCTGTCTTAGGATCCAGCCTTCCATGTATAAAGATTTTTTTTTTTTTTTTTTAATTCCTAATAGGGTGGAGTGAGGATGTGGGGGTGGGGAGGAAGCATGCGGAAGCTTCTTTATAGAAGAATGCTTGAAGAATAAAATAATTTGGCATTTCTTCTTGCTAGCGAGCAAAAGATATGATTAGCATCTAAGTTCCTTACATTCATAATAAGGTTTTTTGATGGAGTTTCAAACAGAAGCAACATACAATGCAGTTTTAAAATTTATAAAATAATTGGAAACAAATGGATAGAATGTTGCTGTATTACTGCTTTCTTTTTATATTCAGCTAGAGTAATCTAGCAATGCATTATGCCTTTACTTCTAGAATTATCCACATCCTTAAAAAGTTATAAGCTAAGTCTTACAAGAAATTAAAAGGCAAATCACATCAGTGTGATTATGAGTGATGGAGATTTTGAATGACAAAGCCTCCAACAAAAAGAGTTTGTGAAAAACATTGTCCTCCTCATTTTTAAAAGAGAATATTAACTCCATCAATTATTGAAAGGAATTATTCAAAGGCTCCAGACATAACTAATTATGGCTTAAAGAGAGCTGCCAGAGCAGAGCTTGTGTTCTAATTATAAAAGTCCAAGACGTTAGGATTCATTTTCTTAAGGAGGACTTGAAAATAAATATAAATTTTCACATAATCTTATAAAAATACACCATTTTTTTTCTTTGTCTGCTCTCATGTTATCTACACCTCCCCCACCGCCGCCCACTGTGTGCTGAGACACCTGAAGGCTAGACATAATGATCAACAGAGCTCCAGCCTGTCTGGACTCCAGCCAGATTTTTTTCCCCTTCTACAATCAAGGAGCTTGCACGCAATGCATGCCGAGCCTATTCCACTGCTATGTGCAGATCCGGGATGGAAGTCTTACACATACTGCGGAAAGATTAAAGACAACAATATCCCCTTTCTCTTACCCTAGACAGCCTCAATTTTTAACCCTTTCATTACCTTTGAAACCAAGACGTCTTACCCATTCAAAGGCAGGTCTCAAGGGACTTTGCAACTCCCACACCATATCATACAGATGCACATGCCTCCTTTGGTGTAGAAATCACATCTCAACAGATCCTATCAGAATATTTTAGGACTAATAGTGTGCTAACTAAACATAACGTAATTTGTTTGTGTGGGGAATGCATTTTTGAATGAACTTACGCTGCATGAAATCTGGAACAAGTCAAAGGTCTGTCGAAAGATTCTTGCAAACCTTGCAGAAGGTTACATACCATTTCTGATGATGCTGTTCTCTAAGCATCTCTCTGTCTGTCTCTCTCTCACACACACACACACACATACATACACGCTCTCTTTTCTCTTTCTCTCTCTATCTCAAGATACACGCACTCAATCAGGAAATTATATCATTGTATCACAGAGAAATCCAGGTTAGCTGGTGATGTCATCATATATAAAATTTTGCCTTTGTGGGCAACATTTTCAATCACCTAATCGCTAATGTATGTTGGGTGTGTGCCCATAGGAAGTTCACGTGCTCGTGGGGTTAACCGACACCCACAGGAAAGGACTATTTTATTTGCAGCTATCTTTCTTTTGAAGATGTGTTTATGGGGCAGGATGGGTATGTTTATCAAGATATATGTAGTCAGAGTTTCCTGGTTCTAGGAAGCCTTATTAATATGCTGTTTGAACATTTGAAAGGCGGCTGAATTTCGATGATATAAATAGGATGTAGAAATGGTGAGCATTTTGAAATCCAGTTGGATAACAATGCTACATATTGCAATTTATTATGACTTGGTGTTTTTAATTTGCCACTTAACATTTTGTAACAATTAAATCCTTTTTACTTTTAACTTATTTCTTAAGGAGAGAATAATTTTATAGCAATGATTTAGAAGTAATGCTCTCTCGTGTGCTTTAATAAGGGTATATCTCTGAATTAGATAATAGTTGAATTAACTTTTGGGTGAGCTAGTATAGTGTTTGTATTTATTTTCAAGTCTGTTTTATGGGCCTTACACTGGATAGTTAGTCACCAAACATGTGCACAGATTTTTATTAATGCACAGATTTAAGTACATTATTTTATTTCACGCAAATAAAGTTTAAAACTTTTACCAAAACATATTGCCAGATTTGAGATGTAGATATAGAACAACTCTGTATACATACTACCCCTTAACTACCAAGTTTTGATATGTAATTTAAATTAATATTCATTAGAATAGAATGACTACGATACCAGTTTTTACATAATACCACGTATCTAATACATAATTTTTAAAATTTTGGAATTTGCTCTTAATACTTCTTCATTCTTGCATACTAAAAAGCGATTAATCTGAAAGGATTTTCAAAGCATATATGTATAAACAGCACTACGTATATGTCAACAAATTAATAAGATTCATTTTGCCAATGTATTGTGTGATTGTTTTAAAACAAATGAAAAAATGTTTGTTCTTTTGCTGCTTTCATGTTACTATTGTTAAGAAAAGTATAAAGCTAAAGAGTTGACACATTTTGTACTTAGAGAAAACAAGCTACACAAGTTAGATGACATTCTATGGGGTAAGACCCCACTAAGAACTAATAAATAACTTCTTTAAGAAATTCTTGGCCTGAATCTATAATTTTACATAAATAGTTCTTCCAACATATAGTGGAAGATTGATGATTAATTATGTAATTTCTTTATCAAAGATTAAAATGAGCAAATAGTTGTGTTTAAATTTTACCTACTTTCAAAAAACAATACATGGCATTGCCCGTTGGGGATACAGGTTACTGAAAAGGCATCTTTCAAAGACAAGAAGATAATGGACTTGATTGAAATAGTTGAACTACGTAACGCCAATTCAAGAACAAATGGTTTTTCAGAGCATAACAGAGAAAGAACAATTTACTATAGTACAGTTTATTCTTCTTACACAATGGCAATGATTTATTTGAAATAGCAGAACAAACATAGTAGATATACAAAAACAACCAATGGGTATTTTATGTCAAGGATATGTCAAGAGTCTTTTGTTTCATATATTAGAATATCCTTAATCCAATTACTTATTTGAAGACTTAGCTTAAATCTACATCCTTGTTTAGCATGTGTTGGTATTAAGATCACATATGTCTCTTACATGCATGTAGCATATTTAGTATACATATATATAATGTATTTGAATATAGTCTTCTGACCCTAAATAATTGTTGTCACTTTATTATAAGAGTTCTTGAAGACTGCTAATGTATTTCAATACAATAAAATTCAGATTGTGACATCAATTAGCTATGTCTATACCACCAGAAGAGCATTATCAGATATTGGATGAATTACTGTATTGATGTTATAATTACCACAAATACCTCATGTCAAAAAAGAATATCAAAAGATATGACTCTAATTTGACGAACAGTGTAAAATGTGATTTTTAAAACCATCTCTATTTCTTACTACCATGAAAATGATTTGTAAAAGAAGACTCAACAGTTATAATTTCTCTTCATGAAAAGAGAATTTTTTTTTTTAACTTAGCCTTTAGGCATAGGGCCTGAAATTATTGTGAGTAGATACCTGAGCACTGTGCAGAGAATGCACAGGAACCTCAAGTTGCGATGAGACAACAAGGGAAACTGGTTTGTCTGCTTTATGTTTCAAATTTTATTCTTGCAATCCTACATGAAGATAATACTCAAAATTAATTTGAGTGAAAACTATCAAAGTTATTTTCTCAATTTTCAAACGATCCACTGTCTTGTTGACACTCTATGAAGGAAAAGTGTTCTAAAAATGATTGAATATTCTACTGAGTGAAACTCAGTCAAGCTCAGTGAGGCACTGGGGTCAAATGGGCTCATGAATCACAGATAGGAAATGAACTGTGTATTGCATATTTGAATGTTTAAAAAGAAACATTTGGGATATTTTACCGTAAACAGATTTTGGTTTGATTTCTGGCACATCTTTTTAAACATTAAGCCTGCAGTTCAGCTGAAATAACTTTTTATATGTCTAGCTAAGACCAGATGGCCACGTGCTCCTTTCTTATTTAGATGAGACTTTTCCTTTGAATAACATCTTTCTTCCTGACCTGCTTAAAAATTCCAGCGAATGAAATCAGCACAGGATTTTCAATTCTAATTGACCATGTGCAGAGGAAGGGCCAGTAGAGAAATCAGTAGAGGCATTGTGAGGCTCACTGCCTCAGTTTTGTCTTTGTGTTTTACCCTTACAAACCAATCTAGACTGATCAAAAGCATTTAATTTTTATTAATATTAATATAGCTGCAAGATTCATCCTCAATCAAAATTATTTGAGTTGGCT